CAGGGTTGGCCAGTTTGGATCCCGTGTATGGACCCACACACCACTGCTCAAACCATGCTGTGGCAGGCGTTCCACATATAAAGTGGAGGAAGATGGGTACAGATGTTAGCTCAGGGCCAGTCTTCCTCAGCAAAAAGAGGAGGATTGGTGGCAGATGTTAGCTCATGGCTAATCTTCCTCAAAAAAAATAAATAAAATAAAGTCATTAAAAAAAGTCTTCTGTAAAAGAAACAGCATCATTATTGTCATGAAAACAAGTTGGCTGAACATGTCTTACTTTAAGCAGAAGTCTAAGGTCAATGGAATAACTTTGAAATCTTCTTCATTCTAAAATTATCCAGAGAGGAAAAAAACATAAGTTTAACAAAATTTTTAAAGAAGGTCTGTCATCTAAATAGTCACAAACTAGCTCTGTGAGTTATAAGGCAAAATTCTTCACGTTGTTGGTTAATAAATGTGTAACTGTAGGCCATCCAAGACCAGTTCAACTGACCTTATCTTTTCAACAGAGTAATTAAGAGTGGTTTTTCAGGAACTGAGACCCTTGTCCAGTTCAGGTTGGTTCAGACCACAAATCCATCAACTGGGCCCAAGCAAATACTCTACAAGTGACCCTTTTGACGTCAAGGAGCTCCACCTGCAGATCATGGTAATGCTGCCATTTTGTGAACACGCCTTCTATGAAGAGGCATGAAGGTTGACTATGCTTGTGCAGATCATCAATTACCTCACTTCTCCTCACCTCCAATCATCTGTCTCCACACTTCAGACCACCTTGCCCTGATACCCTGTAGATATCCTTGAGTCCCCATTTTCGGGAAGGCGGATTTGAGACTTGTTCTCTTGCTTCCTCACTTTGCTGCCTTGTGATTAAACCCTCTCTTTGCTGCAATTTCATTGTCTCAGTGATTGGCTTTCTGATCAATAGGCAAAAACGAACCTGGTTTGGTTACAAATGTTAACCATTTATTCTGTAATGTATTTATATTACATTAATATGTAATTCTATAAATGCAAGTTTTATATTTGTAATATTAAATATCTACTTTTGGACCAGGTTGGCTAAGAGATTGAGTTGAAATAATAGTCTAACGGGCATGTGTCTTCTTCTTTAGACACCTAACCTATTGAGGATGAATCCCCAAAGTGGGCTAGGCCACATTTCAGATCATTTGAAATGAGCAATGAGGTAGCAATTCCAAGGATACCAAGAAACTTGGACTACACACAGCTGTTCTACTGATACTTTACTCCCTACCCTAAACAATATTTAGGACCTTTAGCTTGTACCTACACTAGTTCCAGATACATTTTTTGATATTTTGTTCACACCTATGACTTGAATCTATTCATGAAAACTGCGGTGTTTGAAAATCTTTGCCAAGAGATATGGAATCTTGATTAAGAATCTCATGAAAGCAGAGGTTCCTGGGAAATATGATCCTGTAACAGAGTCAATATATTATGGGACATATTACTTGATCTTACCAAATAGCTAAAGGTTGAATGTATCTGCAATTTGCTTACATTTATGATTTATCAGAGTAGATCAACTAATGTGAAGAATTTGTGACAAAATAGAATCTGGAAAAGAATCAAGGCATATTTTGAATGTCATTAAGTATTTTAGATTATATTTTGTAAGCCATAGGAACCACAGAAAACTTTTGTGCCTTTTTAAAGGGAGGTGAATGAAAGACAAGGACTTTTTCAGAAGGCTGTTATAATTGTTCTCATGTAAGGCAATGGGAATTGGGGAGGGAAGGGCTTAAATGAGGATAGAGCAGAAAAAGCAAGGGATTTGAATGAGGATATGGTAGGACTTAGGTTTTTTTGAAGGAAAAGAGTCAAGTCTACAATGTAGACCCTAGGGAACTAGGTAATTATTTGCAAACACCAGCTCAACTATTGATTAAGTGAGAGGGCAAAATAAAGACAATTTTAAATCTCTATAAACTCAGAAAGTTGACTACCCAAGCCCTTGAATATTTTTAAAACATTGCTAAAAAGTTCTAAGCAAGATAAAAACAACAATGTAACTAATACCAATGGCATTTCTATAAAAGTCTTAATTCATTTAACATTCATATCAACTCTATGAGATAGGTACTATTGTTATTTTTATCTTACAGTTGAGAAAACTGAGGCACAAAGAGATTTTCCCAAGGTCACATATCTTTCCAGAGCAGTCTGATTCCAGAGTCGATGCTGTTAATTACTACACTATGCTGAAATTACAATGCTGTTAAGAGAAATCAGGAAATTCGAATAAGAAAGATGCCTTATTTTAAGTGTTGAATTTTGAGCTGGAGCTTTCCGGCAAGTAAGCTGAACATGAGGAATTGCAGTTAAGGAAAAATCAGGAAACACAGTAATTTCGGGAGACTCTTGAAGAGAAAGAACGTAGCAGAGAACAACAGAGAGCTAGGAGTTTAACCATGGGATGGAAGAAAGAGGAGCTAGCAAAGGAATCAGAAGACCAGTAAACCAGGTAGGTTTAGATCCCAGGAATTGTCTTAAAAGAAAGGGAAATAGGGTTTCAAAGAAGAGAGAGAAATTGAGTGTGCCAAGAAAATGAAGAATGAGAAAATGATTGGAAATTAGAATTCTGATAACCTTAAAGTGTAATATCATTTTGCTGTTATGGAGTCAAATTGATAAAAGCTAAGAAATGATAAACAACCAGCAATAGGATATATTGAAGTATCTGAGGAAGCCATTTTGTGTAAAATTAACTAGGCCTGAACTTGTTTTTCCAAAAGAGCCTGATGTGGCCATTGAGCATGCCTTGTATATCTGCTTTAAGTATTTACTATGTCCCAAAGACAAGAACAATGTCCTTAAAAATGAGGATGAAACTTCCTCCACATGGGCATATCCTTAAGGATAAGCATCTCTCCCTAAACTAAGGATTGATTGCTGACCTGCTGTGCTCACCTTGTGACCACCCACCTCAAGACCACAGACCTGCTGTGTTCACTGAATTGCTGTGCCAGCAAAGCAATCTCATGACTATTGTAAAAGGGATATTCCTGTCATGTGTGATGTATGTTCCAAGACACCCCACTTCTTTGGTACCCTTCCTTCCTTAAGGAAGGAAGGCAAGGCCCCAGGCTAGTCCTGGGATCTGGCTCATAATAAACTCACACCAATTTTGATTTATAGATTATGGATTATTTGCGTTGACAGGAATAAGGTGGAAATGAAGGAAGTGACTGCTTCTTTTGAGAAATGTGAGTGAAAGGAAGGTTGGTAGTACAGTAACTGGAGAGACTAGCAGCACTCAGTTTTTTTAAAAGAACAATGGAATCTGTTGAAAAATAGAAAGGAAGAAGCCAGTGGATAAGAAGATATTGAAGATAAGAAGACCCTGTGAATGTGGTGGTAGAAGGAGGAAGTGGGAAGGGAAAGCATATTTAGGCAAAATTACTGGCTTTGGAGAGAAGGGGAGAATGGGTTAATTTGGTGAAAATTTTTGAGATCATGAACAGTATGTAACTACAGATATTTTAAGATGGAGAGAATATCAAACCAGAATTGGAGTCCCACTGCTTTGGCCCCAGGAAACTAGATGAAGTTATCTATTAGTATGGATTGGGACTGGCACCTTTTATAACAAGGAAACATAGGAACAGTCTTTGCGGAGAACATGATAGGAATTCAGCCAGAGATCAGTAAAACAAATTATATTCCAGACATGAATTTATAACCCAACCAGGTCGGTTGTGACTTCCTCCAGTGAAAAGCTATAAGCCTTGTGACCTTTGGGAGGGAAACTAGAAATACGGGTGAACTAGTGGAGATCGGCCCTGAAGACTATTTAGAAGGGCGATGCTAAGGCAATGCTGAAACAGAGCTGGCTATAGCAACAGAGAATTTAGTCATAAACGGGGTTGATGACCTGGGGCATTAAGGATTCTCCTTTGTATTGACAAGTTGTGAGCAGGTGAAAGCTAAGAGCCACGGCCACGGACAGGCTGATGGTTAGGGAAGAGGCCACATTCAACGGGATATTTTGGTCACGATCTCACGTTAGTCAATTATTTCCTTTTTGGAAGCTACAAGGCTAGGATTCTCACGTCCGTTTCAGAGCCACTGAGAGAGTCCTAGGCTGTGGGAGGAGAAAGCTAATTCCAAAGCTGAGGCTGTATTTTCCTAGTCTAACTACAGTGCTTTCTCACTAACTAGCCAATGCTGCCGCCTTATGCAAAGCCGGCACCACGGAGAGGATGCTGCTTTAGAGAGGCAGGGACGACGCCAATCGGCCCGGGGCGGGCACTGTAGCGTCCAGATCGGCGGCGAGGGAGGTCCCAAACAGCTCTCGCAACCTTTTCACCCTCGCCGGGAAAGTGCCTCGTCAACAGTCAACAATAAATCGCTAATACAATGCTAAACTCTGAGGCCCTCGTTAACCCCTGGAGAGGCAGGATCAAGGTTTTGTGTCTCTACTCCCTCCCGTTTCCGCGGCGCCCGTCCTGGGCGGGGGTTGGGGGCACCAGGAGCACGGTGGGACTGCAAAGACGCGCCAGTCGCACGACGTGGGGAGGAGCCTCCGCGAAGGAGCCGAAGGCGGGTTTCCCTCCCAGGTCTAGAAAAAGCTCCAAAAATGGCGGGCGGCAACTCGGTTAGCCGGGCGCGCAGGCGCCGCGTTGGCCGTCCTTCCGCCCGCCTTGTGCGGCCCTCGAACTGTCCACAGCGCCCTCATCGAGAAGTACCCGCCGCTCGCGATTGGCTGAGCTGGGCTAGCGCTCCGTGCGGGGGCGGGGCCGCCACGCAGCGGCCACGTTTCCCGCGCCGCTGGTGCGCGTGCGCGCAATCCCCACAGGAAAGCGTTTGCGCGCGTCCCCGCTGCGGCCCCCAGCTCGCGCCTCAGCTCCCTCCCTTTTCCGGGCAGGCCCGTCCCGTCAGCGAGGCAGTAAGCACCGCGGCCAGCAGAGGGCGGTCCGGACCCAAGTCTGCAGCGGCGCCATTGGCGTGTGGAAAATGCCACCAGATGGCGGGTTAGGATTGCAGCTCCGTTGAAGGCGCGGCCCCCGCTCCCGAACCCCCGGCGACCACCCCGTAACAACCCCCCCACATCGGGAATAACACACCGGAGACTTTTGGGGGGAAACTAGGTCGACGGCCGGCGGCGCCCGGATGGGCAGCTGAGGTGAGTGCGGGCGGCGGCGACGGCGGCGGGGGGCGGGAAAGAGGGGGAATGCGGCGGCAGCGGCGCGGGGGTTGGAAGCGCCGATCCAAGATGGAGGCCGGGCGAGAGCGAGGGAGCGCGAGCGGGGAGCGGGCGGGCCGGGCGCGGGCCCCGCGCGGGGGAGGGAGGCAGCGCGGGCCTGTGCGGGGCGCGGCGGTCGCCGGCCGTTCGGGCGCCCGGGGGGGCGGCTGTGGGCGCGGCGGGCACCCCGGAGCCCTCGTCGTTCCCCACCCCTTCCGCGGGCCCGAAAATTGTGCCCCCGCCCGCTCGGGCACTACGGCGACGGGCGCGGAAGCCTTTGTGGCGCGCTCGGGCCCGCCGCCAAGCCCGCCCTCCGCCCCCCCGCCCGGACTCTCGGGACTTGCCCGCGCCCGGCGGGGCCGGGCCGAGGCGGGCTGCTGCGAATGCCTTCCGCCGCCCGCCGCCCTGCGTTTCTGCGGTGTTTTAGCGGTAGCGTCGTCACATGACGACGAGCTCGCCTCGGCGCAGAGGCCTGGGGGTGGCTGGCCGTGGCGGCCGGCCCAGGCCTGTTGGTGGGGTGGGGCAGGGGGTTGGCGGCCGGGGCAGAGGGGGCGTCGGGGCCGGGCTTCCCCGCTATCTGCCCTCCCCGCCCCCGACGGAGGCCTCCTTGTGAAACGTGTCCAGAGGCCCGAGCGCTGGCCCGCTAGTTTGCCAGTCCCCCGGGAGACGAGGCCAATAAAAGTTGTTTTCCCTCCTTTCTTGGGGTGGGGGCGGGGTGAAGAGCTGGGAAACTGGAGTGCCTGGAGTTGGACCAGGGCGTCGATTGGAGAGTCCGAACCGGCTGCTTCTGCGTGCTGTAGGGACGAAGAAATTTTCGAGTGTTAGGATTGTCACGTCACCCCTTCTACCCACATTTGAAATGATATCGATTCTCTTCACATTGCAAAGAATCGTGCCCCGGGTATATAAATCATGGGGTGGTTTTGGAAGCTGATAGACTCAAAACAATGCTATTTGTATGGGACGATAGCGAATTATTTGCTGTTAAAGTTGGTGTTAAGATGATGAGTATAGTTTGTTCCTTCTTGTAGTTGTGACTAGAAAAGACTATATTTTGCATCTTAGCAAATGTAGTTAGTGTTTGTGAAAGTATTTGAATTGGCATAAAGAAAGTTGCGTGATTTGTAACTTATGTGGAATTTGAATATGACTCCACCTTTTAGTTTTCTGTGTTTTTTAAAAGAAAATTGCAAATTCTGATGGTGAAGCACTTAGGGAAATATGCACAACGCTGAAAATAAAAACGACTTGTTTATTGTATGGTGTATTATTGTACCGCGTTCTCATATTTATGATGTATAAAGAATTCAGACTAAAAGAAATTTGCCCGACGGGGGAAATATTGAAAGATCCGGAAAGGTTGTTTACTTGCTTTTGATTTTTGAGAATGCTTATAAACACAAATTGTTTGCTATCTAAATAAAGTTGTAAAAAACCTACAGGTGTTTTTGTTAAATTTTTTTTTTTTACGTTTTCAGAATGTACTTTAAATTGATTCGAGTGGTCTACCAATGGTCATTTTTACATCCAAACTGCTTTTGAGTAGAAATTTCATCCACTTTAGTTTTGAAGTTCTGACATTCTAAAGATGTTTGAAGGGATGTGAAGTATGGAAAATTGTTACACTACTAGGATTGCTTCCTTTGAAGACAGTAATAAAATTACTGTTGATTTGCACGGCTCTGTTAAAGCCTTAAGGCGGCTGTGGTGTAGGGGAAAGAGAGCCCTGGCCTGAAGTTAATGTTAGACATTGCCTAGATTTGTGATCTTTGGGATGTCGCTCTTTGAGCCTTACTTTCCTCATCACTAAAATGAAAGCAATAAATTATATGGTAGTTGTTTAAGAAGATGTGTGTGGAAAAGACACACATCTTTTTTACCTAAGACCTTAAATACATACGCAAACACACACATCTTTAATTGTTAAAACTTTAAAAATTTATGCAGATTTATGCAGTTTTATACAGTTTTAGTGTTTTTTTCCTCGATTCTGGATCTGTGTATCTTCATAATCAATGCTGTAAGGAGATATAATGCACTTTGGGAAAAAAGATACATTTCTCTTCCTCCTTTTTTTCCTTTGCTGCTTTGTCCTATGTTGAGAGAGTGTATTAGTTTTCCTTTGATGTATAGCAAAGTACTACACATTTAGCAGCTTAAACAGCACCCATTTATTATATCACAGTTTCTGTAGGTCAGAAATCTGGGTACTGTGTAGCTGGGCCTTTCTGTTCACCATCTCACGAGGCTGAAATCAAGATGTCAGCTGTGGCTGCATTCCTCATCTAAGGCACAGGGTCGTCTTCTATGCTCACTACTTGTTGGTACAGTTAATTTCCTTGTGGCTGTATGACTGAAGTCACCATCCTGCTCGCTGTTGGCCAGGGACCATTCTCAGCTCCTGATGAGGTGTCCACATAGACACTTTACAACATGGCTATTTACTTTCATCCAGGTAGGCAGGAGCCTGTCTCTGACTTCCTTTGTCTCTAACCCTTAGATTTCCTTTTAAGACCCCTTTTTAAAGCTCATCTGATTAGGTCAGACCCACCCAGGATAATCTCTTTTTTGGTGAACTCAAGTGATTAGGGACCTTAAATACATATGCAAAAAATCTATTTGCCATATAATAATCACAGCAGTGATATTTTAATTAGTTAATTAATTAATTTTGAGGAAGATTAGCTGTGAGCTAACTACTGCCAATCCTCCTCTTTTTGCTGAGGATGACTGGCCCTGAGCTAATATCCATGCCCATCTTCCTCTACTTTATACATAGGACGCCTACCACAGCATGGCTTTTTGCCAAGTGGTGCCGTGTCCGCACCCAGGATCCGAACCGGGCTAACCCTGGGCTGCCAAGAAGCGGAACATGTGATCTTAACCCAAACTTAACCGCTGCACCACCAGGCCGACCCCAGTGATATTTTATTGTATCTACAGGTCTCTCCCACACTCAAGGGAGGGGATTATACAAGGGTGTGGGTCATTGAGGGTTCTTAGAATTTTGCCTGCTGTGGGGAGAGAAATGTCTTTACATTTTCCTCTTTACAATCGGGACATACAAGGAGAGCACATAGGAAGAGTAATAATCTCACTTGATAAGTTTACTTGTACTTATTCTGTCTTTTCTTCATGCTTTTTCCTTTCCCGTATTTCCTGGTACTTCAGTTTAAGTGCCTCCTTGTATAAAAGTATTTTGTTTCACTTAGAGGAAATTAAAAATAAAATTAAAATAAAACTTGGGTAAAAAGAAGGAAGGCAATAGGAGAGATTATGTAGTTCTCACTGTTCTTTGATACCTGTTGTTTTGCCCATTTTAGAGATGAGATTGAATTTCAGAGAAGTTAAGGAATTTAAACTCTTAACATCACACTCCTATTAAGTCACAGGTTCACACACTCATTGCACCAGACAGCTGCTTTGGTGTGATTGGTCCAGCAGCTTGTGAGGAGGGAATTCTTATGAAAAAGAATATTTATTTGAAAGTGGCAGAGTAGGGAAGTTATTGATGGAATGAAGAAGGTAGCAGAAGTTTGGTCATGCTGTGTGGGATGCTTTAACAGTCCAAGAAGCAAAATATTTTCAAGAGGAGGCAGTTAGGACAGTTTTAGTTAAGGATATTAAGCTTTAAAGAATATAACCAGGAATTAAAATTGTTAGGGAGATACAGCTCAATTTCTTAATAGAGAGGTGATATATTAGGGCCTTGGTAAATCCTTATCAGCTGAATAGAAATATGAATCATTAGAATTTAGATGATTCTTGCTACTGTGACGCTCTGTAGGCAAAAGTAGGGAGCAGAGACCTAAAAGAAAGCTGTTGCATAAGCCCTAGAATGAAATGATTCTTGAGGAAGGGTTTAGGGTTGTGTCTACAGAGAAGGAGGGATAAATTTTCTGTCGTTTTGATAGTTATGAGTATAGGATCCTAGCTTCCTGTCTTTTAGTGCTGAGAGAAACCTTGTCTTATTGAGAAATGTGATTCTTTTTAAGTGAGCTTTAAGTAGGTCATAGTTAGACCAGTTGGTTTTATAGAATCTTTTCTCCATATAATACACACCTTATTGCTTCCATTAGGTTTTTTTCCCTTTCTCTTCTAATTCTCTGTTCTTGTCAGTTGGTGCTTGAAGGATATGGCAAGTCCTGCCTTCTTTATATAATGCGTTCCTTTGTGCTGTGGGCCTAATTGATGCAGCAGGTAGTTGCCCAAATGTCTCTAAGGAGTTTTGCTGTCATTAAGCAAATATCATAATGGCTTGTAACTTCTTAGAAGCTCACAGTTAGAAAAACATTTTACAATTTGATCTAGTACAAACACACAATGGAAATAAGGGTTTCATGAAATAGCAATTGACCTTTATGCAGCGCACTCTGATATATTCTGATTTTTTTAAAAAATTAAGACTGCTCGTTGCAGTTCACCTGTAGGATATCATGACTCACAGCAACCTACAGTTGGAAAAGCGTTGAATTACAATCTCATTGGTAATCAGGAAAGTGCAAAGTAAAACCATAAGAAGAAACCATTTCACTTCCATCAGATTGGCAAACATTAAAAATTCTGCTGATATCAAGTGTTAGTGAGAATGTAGAGAAATTACACTCCCACTCTTGGCGGGAGTGTAAATTGACACAGTCATTTTGCAAAGGAATTTATTTTATGTAGTAAATTGAAGATACATGTCCCTTAAACCTAGCAGTTGTACTTCTGTCTTTACATTCCTGATGAGAAAAATGCTTGTATACCAGGATATGTGAACAAAAATGTTCACAGTAGCCCTGTTTGCAGTAGCCAAAATTTAGAAACAAAGTATCCATCAGTGGTAGAATGGATAAATAAATGGTAGTTTTCAAAAATTAAAATAATCTTGATTCCTAGGATAACCTCACTTAACAGTGTATTGTCTTTTTTATATTTAATGTTTTGTTAGGGGCTTG